TGTGTGTGTGTGTGTGTGTGTGTCTGTTTATCAGGAGTGCCTGCTGTCATCGGGCCTGTCGGGTGTGTGTGTGCGGCTGCTGGAGACCCATCTGATCAGCGTCTGAAACTGATCTGAGTCCAGTCGACAGGCGGCCCGTCCAGACTGTTTTACACCATCTCAGATAAATACACAGACCTCTTCTGTCCTGCACCTTCAATATTGAGATTCTCCTCATCAAAGACCAGCGATTCGCCAAGCAAGACGCCACTGATGACAAAGACGTCTAGAAATGAGAATATGCTATGTTGGGATGAACCAGTATGGAAAATATGGCCTATACTGAAAATTATGTTTTAATGTCAGATAACTGATATCAATGACAGGGTTTCTCTTTTTTAGTGATCAATTTCCAGGACTTTTTTTATATATATAAATATAAAAGACAAGGATCATCAACTAAACTAATATATTCTTCTCTCCAGAAGTATGTAGAAGACATACAGTTTAAGCCTTAACTATTAAACCAGCTGTTTGATAATTGCTCTTAATAATTCAATACAGTGTAAGAATCCTTCACCGACAGCTGTGAGACACAAGAGCAATCTAATGGACCGACTCATTTAACAGCAGGTTCGTCATGTTCTCGGACATCGAACGCTTGGTTTATAAGTGTCCTTTGACGGATGCAGCCTCTGAATGAGACACTTCCTGATCATTTGTCATTGGCGTTGTTTTAATTTATGATTCCAAATAAGCTCTGCCCCTCATGCTATACACGTACCCGTTTCCCCGACACGTTCCCCTACTGTGCTCCTATTGTAGTCTCCTACAATATGCATCCAAGGTAAAAAAAAAAAATACTGTAATCAAGCTGCTCTGCTCTGATTGGTCAGATGACCCAGTCTGTTGTGATTAGTCAGGAACCAAACGCTCATTATCATATGTGAATCTCAGGTCTTGATCACAGTGATGAGAACAGTAACGATGGCGAGGGTTCAGCTACAACTAATGTTTGAGGGCGGGGCTAAGAGACGCTGTTCAGCCAATCAAGACCATTATGCAAATTAGTTACAAACCTAGACAAGTTCAGCTACAACTACAATGTTTGAGGGCGGGGCTAAGAGACGCTGTTCAGCCAATCAAGACCATTATGTAAATTAGTTACAAACCTAGACAAGTTCAGCTACAACTAATGTTTGAGGGCGGGGCTAAGAGACGCTGTTCAGCCAATCAAGACCATTATGCAAATTAGTAACAAACCTAGACAAGTTCAGCTACAACTACAATGTTTGAGGGCGGAGCTAAGAGACACTGTTCAGCCAATCAAGACCATTATGCAAATTAGTTACAAACCTAGACAAGTTCAGCTACAACTACAGTGTTTGAGGGCGGGGCTAAGAGACGCTGTTCAGCCAATCAAGACCATTATGCAAATTAGTTACAAACCTAGACAAGTTCAGCTACAACTACAATGTTTGAGGGCGGGGCTAAGAGACGCTGTTCAGCTAATCAAGACCATTATGCAAATTAGTAACAAACCTAGACAAGTTCAGCTACAACTACAATGTTTGAGGGCGGGGCTAAGAGACGCTGTTCAGCCAATCAAGACCATTATGCAAATTAGTTACAAACCTAGACAAGTTCAGCTACAACTACAGTGTTTGAGGGCGGGGCTAAGAGATGCTGTTCAGCTAATCAAGACCATTATGCAAATTAGTTACAAACCTAGGCAAGTTCAGCTACAACTACACTGTTTGAGGGCGGGGCTAAGAGACGCTGTTCAGCCAATCAAGACCATTATGCAAATTAGTTGACTGACAGTTCAGAATCAATTCTTTCTTTTAAGAGACGAAAACTCAATTTATCTGCACTTTGATAAATCAGCCACATTTTACTCACTCATCCGAACTGGTCGTGAGATAGTGTTCGAACATCCTGAAAAAAACAACAACAAAATAATGGCACTTTATCACACAGAATACACTAAAAGCACAAGCATGACTGGTATTAACCCAACGTTATGATCCAAACCTTGTTTTTTCACAATTAGTTCAACTGACACGAGTATATTAATATTAAAAAAAGCACAATAATGGCACTTGATCACACAGAATACACTAAAAGCACAAGCATGACTGGTGTTCACGTGACGTTATGATGTGATATATATCCTCAATCAGTTGAGCGGAGTGCACTGGTTTCAGACAGAGCGAGGCCTGGGATTCCCTCTCTCTGTGGGGTCAGGTTTAAAGCAATAAACATGTCTTCATAAGCAGCATATGCCTGAGTAGGCTGAGAGTCGGAGAGATGTGTGTGTGTTTCATAGCGAAAGGTGTAAAAACCTCTGACTCACAGAGACGGGCCTGACGGGCTGCTCCTGCGCTTGAACTGCTGTGGAGAAACGTGTCCGCTCGTTCGTCCCGGAGACAGAGAGGGAGAGAGAGAGGCTGGAAATGCAGTTTCTGAGTCAGAGCTGGAGATGTGATAAAAGCCCTGCTTGTTCCCGGATAACAGCACTCGTGGGCCGCCGACACCGGGCCGCATGCGGGACTCACCGCGTGACCCCTACAAAGTGCACACACACACATGTTGGCTTACCTATACGTGTGAGGACCTCCATAGATGTAATGGTTTTTAATGGTCTCTGTAAACCTGCCCATCACACAAATCTTGCTGCATTTTTACATTTTCAAAAAAACACATTTTATTATGTTTATTAATCAATTTTCCTTGTGAGTGAAGTCTGCACAAAGTAGGGAATCTCAGGTTTTACTATACTTGAGGGGATATCTGCCCATTCACACACACACACACACACACACACACGAGAGAAAAACCTTAGTTATCTTGGCCAATTAACACGTTACTCTCAAAAAACACTCTGAGACTGATTTCTGAACAGCATCTACTCTTTCTGCAATATTTAGTTTACACACACACACACACACACTGCATCGAATGCAAATGCTCAGCAAAAATGTTCTTTGCATTGTGGGACACATTATTCTTTGCATATTGCACGTATTTTTGGCAATGTGCTGAACCTGCCCTAATTCAGATTACAGTGTTGTTTTAGTATCGAAATGTGATTATATATATTTTTTATTTTTTAGATTTTCCATTCACATTTTTATTTTAGTTAAAGGTTTGGTCATTTTTAAAAGTTATTGTTTCTTTTTTTATATATATATAATGGCTATGTAGTTTTTATTTATTTTTATTTTTGTTTTAGTTATTTTATATTGAACTAAATGAAAAATTATTTCCGTTACTATTTATTTAATTTGAAATGTTTTTTGTTTTAGTTTTAGTTAACAAACTAGAAATAATTACAGCTGTGATTCTGATACATTATTCATTGAGACAAAAGTTCAGATATTTTTATGCACAATTTTCTCAGATGCAACTTGAGTTTTGAAAAAAAAATTGAGACTACTTTTATGTACAGATATTATGTACAATAGTGTTCTAACATAATATTTAAATATAATCTAACAATATAAAATAGAATGTTAGTACCTGTATGTAACACAAATTATGTGTTAATATGTGGGGAAAACGATTTAAAAAATGTGTTGATTCAGGGTTCAATTATTGCCATATTATTAAAATAACTGAAAATAAGTTTGTTAAAGCTCTAAAAATATTGGGGGGGGGGGGATAAGATAATAAATTAAACCTAAATAGAAATATTTAACTAATATAAACATTTAAGCTAAAAAACTAAAAAGCCAAATTCAAAATACTAAAACAGTAAATAAATAATAGCTAAATAACACTGGTGCCAGTGTAAATGCCCACACAGACAGACACACTCTCTCTCGCACACACACACACACACACACACAGGCATCACTCTTTCTTCAAAGCATGTATCTGTGGCCTGCGCTGTCAAACTTTTAGCACCTGTCATCCCGCGGCCCGCCGGTCGATGTCTTCAGCGTTCGGAGAGGAGCGAGAGATCAGAGGCGAGAAACGGGTCAGGCCCGGCCCGGGGTCACACAGAGGTCAGCTCCGGTTAGGAGGCCACGACTAAACTAAACGGGACCAGACAGAAATCCGGTCCGTCTCAGCGTGAGGTTATTCGTGGAGCGCTGATCCAGGACTCATCCGTGTGTCTTATAATGGTATTACGTGGTTCCCTTGGATGAATACAGGAGATGAGATGGAGCTGACGGCAGCAGACGCGGCCAAACCCGCAGAATATTCAATCCGCAATCTGCATCTGTGCATATACGCACATCTAATCCACTGGCTTCATCTTAGGTTCAAAAATATCATGCAATTCCCCAGATGTGCTTTAGAACAAACACCGGATTTCATTTTATTCTAGAAAAGGAGTTTGTTCATGCAAAAGCCATCATGTTTCTCATGCAAAACTATCATTTGGCTTTAAAAGATATAGTGCACGAGCTGCTTTTGTTATTTTCGAAGCTTGATAGCATCTGTTCACATTGAATGAACAATTTGTGATATATCGTCCTTTCTGGAAGAAAGTCATTCTGGTCTGAAGTGAGTAAATAATGTCAGAAATCAAAATTGATTCCTTCTATTCTGTTATATTGGCCTTTTTACTGGTAGTACAGTATGAAAAGGACCAGATTGGATTAATCAGCTGCATTTCTGCAACATTAATTATCAGAGAAAAGCATTTTACAGAGGCCTTAATTAGTATTGTGTTGGTTTAACCCCAACTGCATTTCTTTCTTTCTTTTTCTGTGGAACATAAAAGAAGATATTATAAAGGCAAAACAACTTTGGACCCCATTGACTTTCAATGTGCACCCACTGAAACATGTTTCAAAATGTCTTCTTTTGTGTTTTTTAGAAGAAAGAAAGTCATATAGTGAGTAAATGGTGACAATGTTCACATTAACTTGACTTATTTTCTCCTTTAAATGTTATGGTTGACATTTGGTTGACAAAACAGAGAGAAACTGGACAAGATTAACGGGACTAAAACTCACATCGCCCGACATACAGTATCAGAGAACACGTACAAGTCATTATTTACTCACCGTTGTTGTTCCAGTCCAGTGTGCATTTCTTTTCTCACAGAAACATCATTGGACCCCATTGACTTTCACTATATGGATAAAACAACAGTTATTTTTCTTTTAATCTTTTGTGTTTTTTACACAAAAAAGAAAGTCATGCAGTGATTTTGAGATGATTTACTCCTTCAAATGTTATGCTTTTCCCTTATAGTACAGTAAGAGAGAGAAACTGGATTTGAATATATATATATATATATATACACTGTTAAAAAAATATTGATGGTTTAACTTAAAAAAGTAAGTAACCTGGTTGCCTTAAATTTTTAAGTTCATTGAACTGTAAAAAGTGAGTTAATACAATGAAGGAGATTAATTTAACCATCAGAAACTCAAAATTATATGTTGTCTGAACTAAACAATTTTTTTAAGTTGATTTGACAAAAGAAAAAAATGTTGTGATAACAAATCTTGAAAATATTTTTTACAGTGTGTGTGTATATATATATATATATATATATTTTTTTTTTTTTTTTCCTGTGAACTGTGGAAAGCAACATGGACGTTTACTGCATGGACAGAAAAGCATTTCTCATATCTTCTTTTGAGTTCAACGGAAGAAAGTTCTGGAGGTTTGGCAGGAGTAAATGATGACAGAACTGGGTGAACTCTCGCTTCAGCGTTGATTTGTTTGAGGCTTGTGTTACGTGGAGTCCAGGAACATTTAGGGGTCACTTGACGTTACAGAACATTTACACAAAAAGCTCTGACAGCAAACAGGCATCGGATACTCAATGAGCGCTGATTGAAAACACTGACATTCATCTCTTTAAAGAGCGAGTGTCACTGACCTTCATGTGCAAATAAATCCTGATCCCAGAAAACAGGGAACGTTCCCTCAAAGTTATGAACAAACGCTCTTCCAGTGACATTAATACGCTTGTTCGAAGTTATCTTTCAGTTGGAATATTCGTCTAACATTTTTTGAATGTTACTTGTTTCGGAATGTTCTGAGAACGTTCAAATGTAACATTCTCGTAATGATTGCAGAATGGAATGTTCCCGGTTTTTCAAGAGCATCAGAGATGACGTTTAAATGTGACCGTTCTCGTATGTGTGTTAGGCATGCAGACGAGAGCAGGTGAAAGCAGACGCGAGCGCAGACGAAACACACTAATGGCTCAGTTTCTCAGCTCGCCTCCCGCCGCGGCGCTCAGCATCGAGGTCCTCTAATGAGACGTACGGCGTTAATCCTGTCAACGGCGTTCATGAATCTAGCGCCGAGCAAAGGCTTCAGCGGCCGATCGCATCATAAAGCAGGAATGCAACGCTTTCATGTGCTGATGGACTCAGACAACAGTTCCTTCCCCTCGACGGCGACCCCTGACCTCTGGCCACCGGGGGTCACTCAGCTTTTATGGGTGGCCACAGAACACGGCGAACGGGTCAGAACGGGAGCGGGTTTACGAGGAAACGTAAACTTTGGGCTGAGTTGGAATGAATCTATGCGTACGAGCCGTAATTCAACTTTATTTGGTTTTCTGGTCGTCTTGAGAGATGGAAACGCTCCTCTAAAACCAATCCGTGCTCCCCGTGACTGAGAGTGCTGCGCTTTTATCGGTCGCTGTATGGAGGTTTGTACAGTCGTCTGTGAAATACAGACAGACAGACAGACAGGTGGATGGATGGATGGATGGATGGATGGATGGATGGATGGATGGATGGATGGATGGATGGATGGATGGATGGATGGATGGATGGATGGATGGATGGATGGATGGATGGATGGATGGATGGATGGATGGATGGATGGATGGATGGATGGATGGATGGATGGATGGATGGATGGATGGATGGATGGATGGATGGATGGATGGATGGATGGATGGATGGATGGATGGATGGATGGATGGATGGATGGATGGATGGATGGATGGATGGATGGATGGATGGATGGATGGATGGATGGATGGATGGATGGATGGATGGATGGATGGATGGATGGATGGATGGATGGATGGATGGATGGATGGATGGATGGATGGATGGATGGATGGATGGATGGATGGATGGATGGATGGATGGATGGATGGATGGATGGATGGATGGATGGATGGATGGATAGATAGATAGATAGATAGATAGATAGATAGATAGATAGATAGATAGATAGATAGATAGATAGATAGATAGATAGATAGATAGATAGATAGATAGATAGATGAAGTGATGGATGGATGGAGGGATAGATAGACGGATAGATGGATGGATAGACGGATGGATGGATAGATAGATGAATGGATGGATGGATGGATGGATGGATGGATGGATGGATGGATGGATGGATAGATGGATGGATGGATGGAGGGATAGATAGACGGATGGATGGATGGATGGATTGGGCTGGATGTATGGAAAGATAGACGGATGGATGGATAGATGGATGGATGATAGATGAATGGAGGGATAGATAGAGTGATGGATGGATGAATGGAGGGATAGATAGACGGATGGATGGATGAATGGATGGATAGATGGATGGATGGATGAATGGAGGGATAGATAGATGGATGGATGGATAGATGGATGAATGGAGGGATAGATAGATGGATGGATGGATGAATGGATGGATGGATAAATGGATGAATGGAGGGATAGATAGACGGACGGATGGATGGATAGATGAATGGAGGGATAGATAGACAGATGGATGGATGGATAGACGAATTGGATGGTGGGATGGATTGGATCGGATGGATGAATGGAGGGATAGATAGACGGACGGATGGATGGATGGATGGATGAATGGAGGGATAGATAGATGGATGGATGGATGAATGGATGGATAGATGGATGGATGAATGGAGGGATAGATAGACGGATGGATGGATAGATGGTTGAATGGAGGGATAGATAGAGATGGATGGATGGATGGATGGATGGATGGATGGATAAATGGATGAATGGAGGGATAGATAGACAGATGGATGGATGGATAGACGAATTGGATGGTGGGATGGATTGGATCGGATGGATGAATGGAGGGATAGATAGACGATGGACGGATGGATGGATAGACGAATTGGATGGTGGGATGAATGGATGGATGGATGGATAGATCTAACGAGGTGTTGACATAGCTTGAGGGTAAATATGTCATCTGTCATCATCTGACCTCAGTAACGTTTGATACGCCTCGAACATTTAGCGACGGCACCGCAAGGCCTGCGGTGATACACCACTGTCACATCACGAGCGTATGCGGAGGAGTGACATGACAGGTCAAAGGTCACGAGTGCATGACGATGCGTGACACAACAGGTGAAGGTCATGAACGTCTGGACGGTGACTGTCCTGCGCTTGACTTTGACACGCGGCAGATTAATAGCGAACAATATCATTTTCAGCATTGTTCAATTTAAAATACATGCATAAGTCCTTTTTATCGCCCGACAATCAAAAATCATTATTCTAATCAGTAAAAGCATGTAATCTATAGATAAATAAGTAAAGTTAAGTAAAGTTTAAAACAACTACAGACATGCTTTTAAGAAAAATATTAATTATGAGCTTGATCTATACAGTCAGCACCTACTAAAACGATATTTACAAAGTGCTTATGTTGTTCATTATCCATGTACATAAATGAGTGTTTAATGTGCATGTTATACCACAGCTGGTGTAAATCCAGCGTTTAATGTTGTTTATGTATGTATGTGGTGTTTTTAATACGCTTTTTTCCATGTGTGCGTTGATAAGTGGACAGCATTGCTGAGTATTTCCTCCTTAAAACTGCAGTGAACCAAAGACTCAAACACACGCTTTGGTGATTCTGACGTCACAAACCACCTTGTAACCAATCAGATCAACCTGTGATCGTCGACCAGTGGATCTCTGAGTGAGTAAGTGGAGCTCATTTGCATATTCAGAGAACCGTGCATACTAAATGAGCCCAGGGTGTCGAATCACACTCAAGCTATTTTAAGGGCATGAAGACATTTTTCCAAGTAAAAAATGTCTAAATATGTCATTTCGGTGATCAAAGATGAGTTTTAAGGGATAAAATTACTGTGACTGATCCCAAATCTTCCACCAAAGCCTCTGAGAGTTACAAAAGAACATTTAAGACTATTACCGTCCCTTATGTATCTGTCCCGTCTAAAAGCACACTATTGATTTTGAGTGACCCTGATTCACCCGCAGCCTTTCGCCCGACTCGCTCGGAGAGAGAGAGAGAAACCGAGGGAGGGAAATAAAGACTGGGTGGCATTTCCAGTCAATAATAAAATGAGAAAGACGCTTTCAGAGGCGGAGGAGTGTTGAGGAGACGCGGCGGGGCCCTCGGGGGCCGAAACAGACATCTTGCGCCTGGTCACCGAGGTCCCAGACCGGAGAGGACAGCAGACTCTTATTTCCTCCTCAGGCTGGCAGCCAATCAGTTTCCAGCTGAGTTCCAGCCCCCCTCTCTGTCTTTTCACAGATTTTTAGCCCCTTTTCCCCAAATTCTTCACACATCTCTAGATTGCACACATGCAAACACACATACACACACACACACACATCCCCTGCTCATAACACACATCTGCACACGGATAATACAGTGTATTGTGAAGCGTAAATATACAAAGCAACTTCCAAATTTCCAGATTCAAGCTGTTGATTTAAGCAATAATGTGAACACGTTTAAAACATGATGATGCATTTACCGGTATATGATTGGCTAAATAAAGCAATAAAATTAAAGCAACTTCCGAAGCTTTGTCCATTATATTCATATAAGATTCCAAGCTGTTGATTTAAGGAATACTGTGAAAACATTATGATGCATATACATAAAGCGATTAAAATAAAGCAACTTTTAAATCAAATTACATTTGAATGAAGCTGCAAATGTCGTTGATTTAATGAATAATGCAAAAACATGATGCATATAAAGCACTTTCATTCTACACTCTTAAAAATAAAGGATCCAAAACGTCAACATTTACCTAATCTAAAGAAGCTTATGAGGAACTGAAAGATTTGTTATGGAGCCATCGATGCCATTAAACAGCCTTTCTTTGTACGAGTGTGTCTGCTGGTCTGAACGCTGAAGCAGAATTCAGTATTCTGCACGGAGAACTCGTTCTCATCTCAATATTCCTCTTAGCTGGGAGCTAATCCTTGTGAATCTCACACCTTAAAAACTACAAGGCACTTGGGACCCGGGATCTGTCAGGTGAGAACGCATAATCATTCCTGTGTGTGTGTGTGTGTGTTTCGCAGGTGCTCTGTGTGGATCGTCTTTACATCACACCTTCTCATACCATCAGTTGAGATCATTTCAGGATTTGATTTCATAATTTAGACACAGCGACTGAGCTGAGACGACGAGGCGACGTGAGCCGGAGTCCGAATCTAACTTTGCTTTTCATTGCATTCATAATCAACAAGTATAAACTTCCAGATTTGAAGACTGATTTAATTCCTGATTTAAAGTCAGAAATAAACAGAAGTTGCGCTAGTCTTTTCTTCTCTATTGAGCCGTATATCCCAGTGGGAAGTGGGCGGGGCTTGATTTAGTTATGGTCTCCTATTGGTTGATTTCATGTGAGTGACAGGTTGCCCCGCCCACATCATCAGAGAAGGGACATTTCTCTAATTCTGATACAAGATTACCAGGAACATGAATTTAAAACAATAATGATTTGCACAGATAAACTGCAATATTCCACTACAAAAAAACGAATCACTGATTTTGATTTCATGGTGACTTTAAGGAAAAAAAATGTGTCTTTTCTTACAAATGTTACCCTAAAATCATATTAGTATTAATGATATCACCTTTAAAGCGAATAAAAAGAGCTCAAATGGAGCAAATAGTGTGAATAGGTTAATGGTCGACGGTGTTATTTTTTAGTAGCCTAATATAATCACAACCTGTGACTTATTAAATGTATCACAGACTCTTTAATTTAGCATGCAGCCCATGGCTGTCATCATGGAGTTTTAATTACAATGCCGAGCTAAAGAGAGTCAGTGGATGGGTTTGATGAGGACACCCGGTGGGTTTTTCATTAAAGAGCGCTCGCGCTGAGCGCGTGACCCTTTCCGGGTAACCGGCCATTATCGCCACCCGGTCCGCGTGGTTCCGTATCGTTATAAAGCAGCGATTCCGTGCGTTTGTCTCTCTCTCTTTTATCAGATTTGAGGTACAGAAGGGTTTTAATAAGGCGGTGTCTATCCGCCCGGCTGTCTCTTCCTTCACGATCACCGGCTCCTTCACACGGAAAAATAATTGGCCGGTTTCCCTGAGCTTGGAAAGAGGTTGAGCCGGGTGGGATTTGCCTTTCCCCCGCCCCTCTCTTTTTATTACCACCGCCTGATGATAAAGACAATCAGATATTACCTTATGGTGAACTGGGGCTCAATTGTTTTTCCATCTGTTGACCTGGGTGGTGTTTTCTTTTCCTTTTTTTTTTCGCGTTTCGAAAATGTGTTCAGACATTGTTTAAATCGTGTGCATACGTTTTGATAAATACAACCTGCGTAGCCTATTTCGAGCTCAATATCACAATTTAAAAGGACGCAATGTTTCGCTTTAAATATTTAAACGTAGCCTATAATCATAAATGCATGTTTAATAAACAAATACGAGTATTTTATAAATAAAGACTTTGTTTAGTATAGCTTAAAGCAGACATTTATTTAGGAATAATGTAAACATCAATTAAACTTTAATTATAGATGTATCCATTTTTATTATTTGTGAAATTAAGTTGGCTAAATTAAAAATGATTAATTGCACTTATTATATGTACTTTAACTAAAAAAATTAAAACGGAGCCTATAATATTTTTTATGTATAGGCTACTATTATTAAAGGCGCAGGTTTTTTAAGAACTCCTCAGGTGACGCACGCGTGCGCGCCCCACTCACTCACTCACTCACCTCGTGCACGCTGAAAACAATCTCCAGCAGTGTTTCGTCCGAATCATGAAGACACTGAAATAGAGTTCACAATAGAATTACACATTAGAACACGTAGATTAGGCACTTAAATACAACAATATTTTTTTATACGGGGAATTGCACGTTAAAATCTCACGGAATTTGTGAACGTTTACTTACGCTGCTGCTGCTCGAGCTCGTTAAAATCTTTTTGGACTCCGCTGCTGAAAAGAAGAGAAGAGATTGAGCCTAAACACACTGAACCGGAGAGGGGTGGTGAACTTTAACCTTTACGACACGAGCAACTCTAGGCATGGCGGTCCTGACTGACAGTCTGTGGTGAGTTTGCTTTCCTCATTAATCGTTTGTTAATTATTTTGGTTGCCAAGTTCAGTCGAGCTCAAGTGTATTTAGATCAACCGCTCTCAGGTCAGCCTGGAGGACTCGTTAATTGTTTTGTTTTCAGTGCATCTAAAATGGTGTCAATCCACTTCCAAGTTCCTCAGTGGGTTCAATGTCAGTCTCAAATTAACACTCATTTATTGGCTTGAAACGAATTTTGAAACGTTCTATTATAAGTATGTTTTTAGTCAACTTAGATGCATTCCACGTACATATAAAAACCCAGGGGGTGTTTAGCAGGGCCGGTTTTAAGTCAATAAAAAATCACTCTTAAAAATGTAGGTTCCAAAAAGGGGGGTTTCGATGCAATATAGAAGAACAATTTGTTTCCTAAAGAACCTTTCGAGAAAATCTCTGAAGATAAAAAATATTGCTTGGTGTACAAAACATTTTAATAATCAAAATATAGTGAATCTTTAACTACAGAAAAATGCTGGGTTGTTTCTACGTTTGGATCAAATGTGACCAAACACAACCGTTGATTTAAAATTAAGTCTTTTTTTTTTTTAACCCAACGGATTTTTTTTTATTATCAGTCAAATTTTAAACCCAATGGTTGTCTATTTGGTTCATATTTAACCCAAATATCGTTAAAACAACCCAGCTTTTTGTGCAATGGAAAGGGGTTCATTGACGCTAAAGGATTTTGAAGCCATCAATATTTATTTAAGCGTGTAGAAGCGTTAAATAATTAAAAAAGAGAAAGTGATATGTTTTTAACAGTAGGCCTAGATAAAACGAGAGCCAATGAGAAAACGGTCAGAACGCACGAATTGCGAAGGCTCCGCCCCCTCGAGTGAGATAGAATATATAAACTCTCTCAAACAATTCTGTCACTCACACAGATTACAGTTGAAAATCCGGAGGTGTCGCTCTAGAGGTCAAACTGCGGGGCGCACGGAGCCTCGTCCTGGTGTGATCTACTTATTGATCTCTACCAGCTTTTGATTGATCCTCATCCCCGTATCAGTGTATTGAAGAATGCAGTTAGAAAGCATCCTCCCTGGCGCATCTGTAAACTTACCCAAGACCTTCTACAACCTGTCGACGTCCTCCGAGAGCACCAACAACAGCCCGGGGTCAACGCAAATCGATTTTCAGGACATGGACCGGACAGATTCCGAGCAGAGCTCCGGTGCCAAGAAGTTCTTGAGTGGCGGGAACACGCTGATGGACGAGGCGGACACCGAGAGCTTCACCGGGACTAAAGCAACAGCGGCAGCGCCGGACGCGCGGAAACCTTCTCCGGTAATCGGTGGAGATGACGAGCTGTCCAGCGCGCGCCGCTACAACATCGACGAACTGGGCACTGATCGTTATTTCATATCATCTTCCCAACCGAGCTCCGACGTGACCAACCCGTGCTCTCTCTTCCCGTACGGGGGTCAGACCGGCTCGGTGTACAGTGGCTCGAACGGGTCCAGGTATTCGTCGTCTCTGCATTACGGCTCGGTTCTTCCACCCGCCGGGTTCTCATCCGCCGTGTGCGCCAGTCGGAGTCAGTTTGGAAGCGGCTATCAGTTCGGACAGGGTCCCGGGTGCCTGTACCCGTCCTATCCCGGACCGGGCTCCAGTTTGAGCTCGATGCCCATCCCGGGTTCGGGCTCCGCGACCAGGGCGCAGGTTTACCTGTGTAACAGACCGCTGTGGCTCAAATTTCACCGCCATCAGACGGAGATGATCATCACCAAACAGGGCAGGTAATGAAGAAGTTTAACAACTCGCTCTATAAACAAAAATGCCGGCTTGTTTCGGTGTTTGAATCCAACCGTTAATTTAACTGTATTTTTTAAATCCAACGGTTGGTTTTAAATTCAAATTTGAAACCCAACGGTTGGTTTTGTCCATGTGCTGAAAAAAGCCAGCATGTTTTAGAGTGCTGCTGTAGGCGAAATGAGAAAAATGCCGTTAAAGTTTTGCTTTAAAATTAAGTCATTTAGAACATAAATGTTTAATAATTTAGAGGGTGCGTGGTTTAAAATGTAACATTTTGAACAGGAAAAAAAAAACGTACAAGATGTCTTTGAATAACGAATATTATTTTCTCAGGATGGCAAAACGAATCGGTCATTCTTAATTCTTTTATTATTAATCATATTTGCAGGCGAATGTTCCCATTTCTAAGTTTTAACATCACTGGACTGAACCTGACGGCGCATTATAATGTGTTTGTGGAGATTGTTCTGGCCGATCCGAACCACTGGAGATTTCAGGGCGGGAAATGGGTCACCTGCGGGAAAGCGGACAACAACATGCAAGGTGAGGAGAAAAACATGACAACCTGTTATAACTGCAGTTAAACGTGTTCGGTGACGGGTTTTCTTCTCCTGGAAAATATAAATACAATCGTATTCGAGTATGGCCTTTATAATTAAATGCAACGAAAAAATAAATTAGAAATTCGTTTTTTGAGTGGGATTTAATCTTCATTCGATGCTGGTATAAACGAATAGATTCGATGTATACAATCTTTCGTAATATAATTATGAATATATGATTGTTTCCAACGACGCTTGAAATTCAACGAATTAATTCAAACAATTTCAGAGCTAAAACAAACGTTACCGTTTATGCGTTACTTTATTTAATCTTCGATATTTTTTCACACTTTAAAATGGAATTTCGTTTGAAAATGAAAGCAGTTTCAATGCAACGAAAGAAGTTTCGCATTTAATGTGAGCGATTTGCAGCGATGACACTTGAGCACGCGGGGGTGAACGTGTTATTCTCCTATGTGTATTATAATCATTCAAAACAAATCGCTCTTAGTCATGATACATCTGTTTTTACATGAAGGATATTTTCAATGCAAAAGTCCCCTGCTTCATTTAACCCAACTAATAATTTAATAAGACAAAACATTAATGTTCTGCGTGTGTTTTTCTGCAGGAAACAAGGTTTATGTTCACCCTGAATCACCAAACACTGGGGCACACTGGATGAGACAAGAAATATCATTCGGGAAACTGAAGCTAACCAACAACAAGGGTGCGAATAACAATAATACTCAGGTAAATAACATCACTCTGTTAAAGAAGTGGAGTAGTCAATGTTTAAGTTTTAGACGGAAAATATGAAGGTCATGTTTTTTGTTTTTTTGTGCAATGAGCGATGTTCTTAAACTGTGAATGCATATAGAAATATTAACAAAAAACCTTAGAATACTACTTTATTTTGAATGAGTTTTAGTGCATGTTGCAGAGATCCGATGCATCTTGCACATTTTAAAGATAAAGATGAGCGTGTGTGTGTGTAAATGTTTCTACCTCACACACACAGTCATCTCAAAGGTCTTCAGTGTGGGTTTGACACCTACAGCAAGCGCTGGCCATGAACTCTGCACAAACACTGTGTGTGTGTGTGTTAAAATAGATGATCGTCCTCCAGTCCCTGCATAAATACCAGCCTCGACTGCACATCGTGGAGGTGACGGAGGACGGGGTGGAGGACATGAGCAGCGAAGCCAAAACACAAACCTTCACTTTCCCTGAAAACCAGTTCATCGCTGTAACGGCTTACCAGAACACCGACGTAAGCAAAAACACAGCCACAGCTCCTTTCAGCCACTTCTGCTTTCATGCCGCTTCTCAACTCCTCGTCTTTGTGTTTAATTGCAGATCACACAGCTTAAGATCGACCACAACCCCTTCGCAAAAGGCTTCAGGGACAATTATGATTCGTAAGTGCCTTTCGAACAAAACCTCCCTGACTGAGAAGTGCAAAACCCATTATTGCTGACCGAATTATGAAAACGGCCCCAAAATATAAGGGTGTTCCTTTTGTTAACAACATTTTATGAACCATAAAATGACTCTAACCTTTCTTTTAAACAAAAACATGTTTTGTAAGGTACATGAGTCTGGTTTCATTCTGTATGCATTTATGCTACAGTGCAAAGTTGATAAAATTCAGTAGTATGAATACTGGGACTTTGGCATTATGGGAACACTTCAATTTCAGGTTCATCAGTTTATGCATGAACTAAATTGATCTAATAATGAGCAATTTGTTACAGTATCAAATAAAAATGTTTAATTTTAGTTTGTCAGCTCTGGTCCATTAAATACAACTATTATTAAGTAATGTATTAGTAAATGTTGAAATTTAAGAAATATTATTCATGGTTCGTAGCCTACTAATGTAAAGTGTTACCTTTTATATTTGCTTATTAAATTATACAATATTTCTGTAGTGAAGATCTTTAAATTTAGCAAGTTGCCAAAAGAACCTTTGAGTGAAAAGTTCTTAAAATAAAAATAAAAATCCTTGGTGCACAAAACATTTTAATAATCTTAAGAACCTGCTGGGTTGTGTCAACACGTTTGGGTCAAATATGGACAAACCCAAAATTTGATTTAAAATTAAGTTACATTTTTAAACCATAACAGTTTGTTTTTAAATTCAAATTTTTAAACCCAACAGTTTGTTTTTAAATTCAAACATTTAAACCCAACAGTTTGTTTTTAAATTCAAATTTTTAAACCCAACTGTTTCCATATTTAACCCAAACATCAGTTTAAACAACTCAGCATTTTTTGTCCAACAGAAAAGGTTTCATTGATGCTAAAGATTTTTGGAGCCATCATTATTTATTTAAGTGTGTAGACGCCTTAAATAAAAAAGAGAGAGAAAGTAATATGTTTTGAATGCAGGTAAAGTGGGACTTCATCCATTATGGGAACACTCCAATATAAGGTTCCATTAGTTAATGCATTAACTAAAATTAGCTAACATTCGTAAGAGTATCTATTAAAAACTGTTAGTTCACGTCAGCTCAGGTTCATTAAATAATATGAACGGATACAACTTTGAAATGCTTTAAGAATTATTATTCGTGGTTAGTAGCCTATTAATGTAAAGTGTTGCCATTGAATTCTTTAGTGAAGATCTTTAAATTTCGATTTAGCAAGGCACCAGAAAGTGTTATGTTTTGAGAAAGTAATATGTTTTGAATAAAAGTAAAGCAGGACCTGATAAGGTAACACTTCAATATAAGGTTCCGTTAGTTAATGCGTTTATTGAAATGATCGAATAGCGTGTCTATATACATCGCCTCTTGTTAAAGAATGCAATGCGACAAATTGCTAACAGTCCCTCTCTCTCTCTCTCTTTCCTCTCAGGATGTACACGGCTCCAGAGAGTGACAGACTGACGCCCTCTCCTACTGATTCTCCACGGTCGCACCAGATTGTCCCCGGCGCCCGCTATGCAATGCAGCCCTTCTTCCAAGACCAGTTTGTAAACAACCTGCCACAAAACCACCGCTTCTACGGCAGCGAGCGCGCCGTGCCGCAAACCAACGGCCTGCTTTCTCCTCAGAGCGAGGACTCGGCCTCCGGCGCGGCTTCGGCTCAGCGCTGGTTCGTGGGGCCCGTCCAACAGAGCGGCGCATCCACCAAACTAGACCTGTCCTACGATAGCGAGTACTCGGCGTCCAGTCTCCTGCCGTACGGCATTAAACCGCTTCCGCTGCAGAGTCCTCACGCGCTCGGCTACTACCCCGACTCCGCCTTCGCGTCGATGGCGGCCGGTTGGAGCAGCAGGAGTTCGTATCAGAGGAAGATGACCACCGGCTTGCCCTGGTCACCCCGACCGAGTCCTCCGGCCTACTCCGACGACCTGTTAACCTCTAAAGACAAGCTTCATGACGAGGGCTCCACCTCGGCCCCGACCGCCGGCACCACCGCCCCCTGGATGGAGGCCCCGCCGGTGCTGAAAGTCGTCGACTCGGGCGACTCCAGCGGGTACGCCATGGCGTGTAAGAGGAGGCGCGTTTCGCCCGGCGGCTCCAGTACGGACGCTTCGCCCACTATAAAGTGTGAGGACTTGAGCTCGGAGGAGTACAACAAAGAGAGCCATAAAGCCATGGGTTATTACGCCTTCTACACAAGCCCTTAAGAACTGCTTTCCAGATCGTTTATGAATTCTCTCTTCATCTCTTATTTTGTTTGAAGTGTTCTACCATGTTGTGTTTTTAATATTTTAATCTGCAAGTGCCAAAGCTTTCGTGCCGCCCCGGTTGTGCTTGTTAATTTGTGAAATACAAACGCTTCTTTTTTGGGGTTTTTTACTTTGTATTCTTTTTAAAGCATGCCCTTTTTAATCTTATTTTTATAAAAAGCCCATAATGTGTTTGTTTTTTTTCTTCTTCTTCTTTTTCCCCCCCTTTTATTTAAGATCTCTCTGTTGTACAGTATTTGTGCACTTTAGATTGTGATGTATCTTGTACAAATGTTCTCATGGCACTGTTATGAAAGGTGAAATAAAATGTGCTTTTCATACTTTCTTTGTCTGGGTTTCTCTGCTGTACGTTTTATTTAACGAAAATGTATTTTAAAACTACACTTATTCATGGACTTTATTTATATTAAAAAAAGAACGAAAATTAAATTCGTTAATTTACATAACGTTTTAAACGGTCAATTTATAACGTTTAAATATTCATAAACAATCGGCAGTTTTGCGGGAACGAGCAACACGTTTGTAAAGCGCAGGAAAAAAAAACTTTTTTTCGTTGTTTTTAAAATGTAATTTGTATTCATACATTTAAATGTTATACAGCCATTTAAGAAATAAACATAAATTGCGTAATAAACCAAAACCCGTGTTAATTTTTTTTTCAATGAAGATAAGGTTTTATTTTATTTATCTTTGACTAATAATGTTCTAAATAATTCGAGAACAATCTTTGTACTGAACAATTCTCTGAAAATCAACCACAAACGCACCGTTATGTCTTAATTTGAAGGCGCGCGAGTCGTTTATCTTTCTTTTGTCAAACAGGAGTTTGTCGCCTGTATATTAGCAGCTTTTCCCGGAGTTATTTCGGATCATACGAAACGCATTTCAGGGTGAACTTGACAGAGGAAGTCACTGCGGTTCCTCATTTTCTGTGTTATGGCCACTATTTTCTGCGCTTTAGTTGAAACGGACACAAATACATTTTCCTTTTCAGACTAAAAGTGCTAAACACATTTAGAAGCGTTTCTGTACAGTTGCCGCACAATCTTCCAATGCATTCAACAGTCCAAGAACAGAAAGGATGGATCGGATGCATTTCCAGCCTATAGGCTGATTGTGATAAAACGCATGATCTAAAAAAAGTTTACTTTGCAATAACAGCTGTTTTTATAAAAGAAGATGCATTTATATATTTAAACACCCTTCATTTTCAAGACCTACATTTTTGACGCATGCAATTTTCTTAATTGAGGAGGCAAGTGACTTCCTGCTATATTCTTCGGAAGAGGCTTAATGAAAGTGTGAAAATTACGCATCAAATATGAGAAGATGGTCGAGCTGATAAACTTCCTAAGCGAGTTGCACGAGGACGGGCCTCATTTTTTGGCATGTTTGGGGAGAATTGCACTGTTCTGTCTGTCAGCTCGCAATCCTTCCTCATCAGCGAATCCCTCTAGAGTTAATTTCAATGCCCCGGTATTTTTAAGTCTAATGAATTCTGTTGTCAGACTTCTTGACAGAAAGCGAAGACTCCGACTAACTCCAATTAACACCTTGTAATGATGCCGAGCTCCTGATGGCGCTGAGATCATCTGCCCCGGGCGGGTACTGATGATGGGGTAGCGGGGCTATAAATGTGCAGTTCTCCTTCAACACTCGTGTCAGCGAATCCCACACCGGATCGCCGAGATCACGCGCTCTTTTTTACTTCCTGTGTACTAGAACACACCGTATTATGACGGTTTAAATATAAAAACGGTGTTTTAATAAATAGCTGCAGTCAAGGCTAGTCAACACGATCAAACCCTCTTTCATCATAGCTATTCATTTTAAACAGTAGGCCTACCCGTTCTTGTCTTTTAATGGACTTTTTGATCCACTTCAAATGTTGACTACTGTATTTCTGTCTGAATTTTGTTTGTTCCACACCAGTCCATGTTTTTTTAGCTTTGAGGTCACCTGTCCGCCTTATTTTTAAAGGGATAGTTCACTTTGAAATTAATTTTTGATATGTTTAGCTTACCTCAAGGACATCCAAGAGATGTAGGTGTCTTTGTTTCCACAGTAGTTTCAATTTGGATATTTTAGGTCAAACCGTTCTTGTCTGTCAGTCATATAATGCAGGTCAATGGTCACCACCTCAAAGAGCATGCACAGAGAAGTCCAAATTAAACATGATTTAATGACTCATAAATGTAATGGCCTAAGACACGAAACGAGCGGTTTGTGTGAGAAAACAAACAGTATTTATATCGTTTTACCTCACAGTCACGTCCAAGTCACGTCTCACTCATGTCCGAGGGCGCGTGCGCTTTGTGGCTGTGGTTACAAGAGGTAAAAACTATATAAATACTGTTTGTTTTCTCACACAAACCGCTCGTTTCGTGTCTTTGGCCATCAATGTGTACTTACATTTACGAGTCATTAAATCATGTTTAATCTGGACTTCTCTGTGCATGCTCTTTGAGGTGGTGACCATAGACCTCCATTATATGACTGCCAGACAAGAACGGTTTGACCTAAAAATATCAAACAAAAATATTGATGACATAATCTTGTCCACTAAGGCATATTATTTTTATTTTTAACAAATACTCTAGATTAAGAATATCCCTCCTCAGCATCATACAGTAACCTGCCTCTTCATAGCAGTATAGCAAATGCAACACAAACTAAAGTATATAATAGGCCTCAAGAGTTTGAACATGTCCCATCTTAAAAGTGATTTCTGAGAAGCTGTTGAAAGTGGATCAGGGCAAAAAAGAAAAGAAAAAAGAAAGAAAGTGGATCAGGGCTGCATTTCCAAAAAGCATCGTAAGCCAAAACACACCTGTAGACAATTATGATGCGCTGCAAACAAGCAGCAACCTTCCGGTCTCTCTCTTGAATCCAACACGGAAGTGACTTAAACTGCAGTTCATCGACTGGCCACTAGAGGCCGGCTCCAAAAGAGTATCAATCCCATAAACCTCCATGTTAAAATGCTTTACAACTTGACCAACTGTAATATCAAAAGACATGTTTACAGCCTGGTGTTAAAAGTAGTTTTGGTCTATAGAGCTAATTTAATCCTTCATGATGACGTCATGTGCGGGGGGGGATTTTTTTTATAACTCACCTGTTTAAATTATTGTGCATAATTAAGGGCGTGGCCACTTGAGTGACAGGTGGATTACTCGTGACGTCACCTCAGCTAATCGGCCACGCTGCACACTTTCATTTATCCGGGAGCGACGACTGGCTCCGCCCACTTTGAGCTTCAATAATGCTCTTTAGAAACCTACGGGTGATGTAACGCTCTTTTTTACAGTCTATATTTGTATGGAGTGTTCATGAATTTGGGGGCGGAGCCAGCAAGTTAGGGGTGCGATCCTATTGGAAAGAGGGCGTGTTTTGGTGATTTCAAATCATAACTGCCTTTCTCAGAAATTGCTTACTGCACCTTTAATTTCTTGGTTCAACAACAGGTAACGCCTCATCAACATCAAAGTGTGCTCATCAAGCAAACAAACGCTGAATAACTCAAAGTTATGTGGAGAGTTCAGTGACACATATGCACAATTATAAGTATTAATGGGTTTTTCAATGACCCATGGCGGGATCTATACAGTTAGTGGCACGTTTTTTTTTTTTTCCTCTGTGTGTCGTGGCACTTTGAGATTGAACTCTTCACGAATAGTCCTCGAGGATGTCTGATCTTGTCTTGTTCGTTTAGCTAATGGATCACATGCACACATGACCCTGAGCATTGGGAGGACGGAGACTGTACTCTACAACAAGTCAATCGACTGCGACAGCAACACGCATTAATGCAGGAACTGCGGTAATCAATAGACACTTCACCTGCGCTCTGCATGTCGAGAGTCACAGCATGTAAACGAGGAGAGGAAAACACGGGCCGTCTGATCCCGAGCCATCACACACCTGAAGGGATTCCCAGAGAAGAAGTGATCCGAACGGCAATGGATTTATGTTTGGTACATCATAAAAACAGCAGGGAAGGCCGGAATCATTAGCCTGCAACAAATTGAGATTAGGAAAGTAAAGGGTTAATTCTGTTTTTGTTTTTTTTTAATCAAAGGCATTTGAATAAGCATGAAGCATTGAGTGATCTAGGATCTTTAGTTCGTGCCATTGTAAAAATTGTAAGTCATATCCTTAAATCCATGTTAAATTGAATATAGTGTTTAATCTGACTTAGTGGCTAATATACATTATGTAATACATTATGGCTAATAAGACAGTGGTTTTAATTTTGTATACTGGCATCCATCAGCATTGTTTCATGCAAAAGCAAAGGTTCTGGGTTACAAGATTGCTAAAGTACAGTATCCCACTGGTCATGTGATTGCAACAGCTCTATACGCCACTGACATGACTCAAGTCTCATAAATGAGTAAACGTCAAAAATAATGACTTAAGGTGTAAAACTTTGGAAAACATGCAGTTAGTGCAAACGAAAAAACAGAATGGGAGAAAAACGTGAGCTTTAGTTTAAATTTTGTTTTTACTATGAAAATTCTAATTATAAATATATGGCATGTTTGTACATCACGGGTTATCCATTGCATACGGTATATAAACAAAAACTTTCACTTTTGAATGAGGCGACGCTGAAAGATAGCAGTATGAAGTCATATCAGCATAATTAAGAAATTACTCATTTGATAAAAATGAACTATACTCTCTCTCTCTCTCTCATGCAGATTATAATACCAGTATGTTTGAAAGAAAGTCATTCAGATTTGACACAACATGAATGATGACAATCTTATGTTTAGGGGAATTTAATGTTTAAGTGTATTTTCAGATTAGGTTGATCAGGATGATTTGAGGAGGTCAGGTCTGGCGCGCGCGTGTGTGTGTGTAACGTCTGGGTCAGCGGTGTGTGAGTAACAGTGTTGGGGCCTGAATCTGTCCCCTGCTCAGACCTGCACTTAACACTGAATTGATTTTAGACACCCCTCGCCGTCCTGGGAGGGTCCAGGCTTCACCGCTGCAGAACAACCCCAACACACACACATTTAGCCACACACATACTGTAAAATCAAACATCTGCATAAGGTTGAACACACAGCACTGATTTAGAAGTAGAGCCAGACCGATATAGGATTTTGAAGGCCGATACCGGTACAAATATTTGTTGGTTTTAAAATCCGATATATCAGCCGATATTATTATTATTTTTATTTCAGATACGCGCAACAAAATATTAACAGATTTCCCTAACATTAGTTATTTATTTATGAGTTTTAATTAAAATAATATGATAATGCATTTTAAAAAGAAACTTGTTCCTATTGTCACAACAGAACGGAGG